AAAAAGGAAAGCTAATAAGTTAATGACACGACAATTCGTGACAATAAAGAGCAAAGAAGTTTTAATGAAAACTTCTTTGTTCTTTATCGTCACGAATTGTCGTGTCATTAACTTAGCTTTCCTGCATTTTTACTCGATGTTTCTTTTGGTAGCAGCCTACGCGCGCGCGTGCCTAATGCATAGATTGAAAAATATTATTGCGAAATAATCGATTCCTGCAGATAACGGTGATAAAATACGTGTTATACCTTTCGTTGAGTTATTTGCGGGTTAATGAGATCCTATCGTTTTCGCCAATTACATGAGTTTTTTTAACTTGTGGACTCACGGAATATAAACGGCACTATCGAGGGAACTGCTATTCCAGGAATGTCGTGTACGTGCTGGCGCTTTAGTGTGGAGAACCGCGTGCGCCGTAAAGGTATTTCTAGCCTAAACATAATAATAACGCTTAAACAACACTGCATTGCACGTTGGGCTCGGGTTATCATTTTTTTCCTCTTTAATGCCATTGACCGTACAGTTCGCTCAATGAGTAACATCAATTACGTTATGCGTTCATAAGTGAGTCGCCAGTGTATGTAATTGTTATAATGATTGATCTTTCTATCGCTACCCCGCTATGCTCTTAAAACTTTCACGACTTGTTTCACGAATATACGAATAACGCCTCGTTCTCAGTGTAATATACAGTTCTGCTGATATTTATAAAATGTTAGCGAGATACGTGTAAAGGAATTAATAAAGCGTCATGTGTTAGGTGGAATGCAATAGAAAATCAGTCCAGTTTATACTTTATTTCGATCATAGTGCAATAGGTGCAGCAAAAAGTATTTGTACAATGTAATTAGCAAGATTCTTTCACGTTTGTCACTGATCCTTTGTAAATCTCTGCTGGAAATTTGTATCTTGAAAAAAAAACCATCCAAGAAGAATACAGATGGGGGGGATTGTTATAAGTAGGTAATGCTAGTAATGAAATGTAGTTTGATTTCGAAGCTAAAGCTTTTTTTAAGAACTGTGTTCACCGTAACATGCGCTCGCTAACAGAACTTATGCAGCGACTTAATATAATCGCATATAGACCATTTGTCTTGTCATAACGACATCTCTTTAGTGCATTCTGACGTAGACCAACTCTCTGGTTCAGATATTGCGACTGTATGCTCTTTTAGCAGTCAATGTGCGCGTGGACAAGATCGGCGTTATTAATGCATTTATTCATAGGGTCAATTAAAATTTAGATGAAAGAAAGGGAGGGAGGGGGGAGAGAGTGAGAGAGGTGCGGCACAATATAATTATTATCTCGATTCGGCTAATGAACTATCGTGTTTGTCGTTAACTCGCACGACAAGAGGAGCGAAGCGAGGATGAACCCGTGAGAGATTTCTCTTTTATTTTTATCGTTCTTCTGTACGGTCGATTTTGCAGGCTATAATTTAGAAAATACGTATGTGGAACATGTCATCTGCATCGAAGTAGGCCAAGCGATGCAATTAGCGTGCCTCGTTTTTTATTGCCTTTGTCATCGGTGCCGATCTTATAGGTCCACACACATATGTTCTACTACCTTTTATTAGCTATGTAGATATCGATGCGCAATCCAGGTGCCTCGGCTGACTGGATATCACGCAGCACAATAGCATCGGAAACCTATATATCGACCAGGAGCAATATCACTAGCATGAGTATATGCTATCTATGCGTTACGTAGTCATGCATAATATGTATTTATGTAACGTTGTGTGTCCGAGGATATAAATATTCTTTGTATGAAATCCGGATATCTCTATCATTCGTGTTATAAGGCAACACGCACGATACAAAATCCCTTTATCGCTAATAATAATACTTATAGTATATATAATATTTCAAAAAAGATGTGAAATCTTTAAATTGCGCCAATTGCAAAGAGAATATACGTATACATATATATATTTTTTTTTCTTTCCGTCTAATCCCAGCTCACGTTCCCTGTTGGCGGATGAACAGTACAAAATAAAAATATTTAATTAAAATAAAATAAATAAATTTTTTTTGTAAAAAAACTTGGCGTTGCTAGACCTTGAAATTTAATAAAGTACTAAAATTTTGATTGAATTTAATAAAGCATAAAATATTTGATTGAATAAGAAAGCAAAACATAATTTAGGGAAGTATGCAGCGAGAGTAAAAAAGCAGCGCCAATAAGTTTTTTTACAAGAAAAATATATATGATTTATTATATATTGTATTTCATATATATATGCGTGCGTGCGCGTGCGCGTGCGTCTGCGTGTATATTATATATATATATATATATAGATATATATATATATATATATATATATATATAATGTGTCGTAGGCAAATGGTTATTTTAGCGAAAAAAGTTTTGACTAGGCAAATGCTATTTGCCTAGGAAATTGATTTGAACGTTTTTTAGGAAAATGGAAATAAATTGTAGGTAATTATTCAGAATAAGGCCTTTTCCAAATTTTGATATTTTTTGCGGCTTTCTTGGTAAAAATCTTTGTAAAAATCTTTTCCAACAACTGGACACATAGTGCGCCTTGCAAAGTACATGCGTGAACTTTCCACGCGTGGAAAGTTGTAAACCCATGTGTCATCTCATTTCGCGTGGAAGCAGAAATATGATAGAGTGGGAAGGTTCGAATACTTCGAGCTATTTTATTCTAAAAGTGTACATATTTTTTATTTTATGGAGAAATTAAAGAGGACAAATTCTGCCAATATTTATAGTAGCTTTCATGAGTTTATTTCAGAACAGTATAAAAATAAATTTTTACAACGAACTTTACGGAAAGCTGTTTAGAAACTGCAACTAGAAAAAGTATCACGGGAGATCTATTTCTAAACGAAAGAAACATAAAAAAATATCAAGAATTTACTAACGATGTTATTAATGTAGTTTTTCTAGTATTTCGCTGAACAATTATTTCAAACAAAGAAATGACACCATTGCCCAAAAAATTCAAATTATGAAAAAAAAAAATAAAACGGTTAGGAGACATTTTTCATGCTGGGGTCTTTTAGACCCCATGTGTCATTTACGAGATTCTTGAGAGGTGTGGCATTTAAGGGTTAAATTATGAACATCGTCATGGTATGGAGAGTACATGCAGTTAATTTCTTTGAACAGATTAGTTAAACTCTTGTTAGGATTTCTAGATAGGATCAATTCTGATGTACCGATGAGCATCACAGCATCTAGCTTTGTGTAAGAGACCTGTGAACTGTCCTTAAATACTAGTTTGAGCATTTTGATTTCAAAATTACACGGATGCGACAACGGTGGAGAAAATAATCTTGATTTCGGGGGTACAATCTGAGGTACCATACTGCCTCTGACATAATTGGGCCACCCAAATTGGTTGTCCGTAATTTTGAAATTTGGGGGCCCAATTATGTCAGGGGCAGTATGGAATATGCTAAGACTCCAGTGGTCCCCGACAACAAATCTTTTCTTCACAAATTGATAGATGAAGTCAACACTATCCTCTTCTCCTACGGATACTCTGCCGACAGGATCGACTACAACTCTCCCAATATGAAGATTTATTGTGGGTTGTCATATTGTCTCTCTAAAAGAAGACAAAAAATATGAAGACTAATAATCCTTTCTTTTTTAGCATATGCTAAAATGCATTATAATATCATATATATTTATAATTATAGCATTAAGATTATATGTATAATCTAACAATAAGTTTATCTTGGTTTCATTTGCATTGCTAAGTACAGTCTGCATGTGTGTGTTGAATATCATTATTAAATAATAAATTATTTTAAAGAAAATAACAGTTATTTTTTAATTTTGTTAATGTAGAAAAATGTTTTTTTATTCATCAGGTTTTTTAAACCTGAAATATCGGGAGCTCTGTGTTCTTCTACTACCACGTGGCACACACATCCACGAGCACAAAAGAAAGAACCAAAAAATTACACAATTTAGATTGCTCACATTTGCCAGACTTACGCTTAGTTTCTAATTTCTAAATGACTAGTTCCATTCTACAATAATTGTAAGAGTAGATGTAAGACGTGTAAGCAGTAAACTATTGACTATTAAGACTTTTACAATCCAAGAATAATCGATTGTAGTTGGTCAACTTTTACTGCTTACGTCTTACCGCATACTCTTACAGTTATTGTACAATGGGTTTAAGATCTTCCAGAATGTATTTTTTATCTTACTCAATGTATCTTTTATCTCATTTTCTGATACGCGTTATAACATGGTCTACCACGTGGTACTGTGTTTCACACGGTAGAAGAACATACTGCATACACACGTTCACGTGCACCAAAGAAAAAAATTGCAAAATTGAAATTGTTTACGTTTGCTACACTTATGCTTACGCTTTTAAATGACTAAAATTTTTTAAAATATATTTTGTTATTTATTTAATGTATCTTTTATCTCATTGTTTGATATAGGTTATAGCGATCTAACAATAAGTTACACAAAAGATCACACAGTGAATAAAAAGAATTAATTATCTATCGGAAATTTAACTAACTCGGAACTGAATCAAAAAATTAATCAGTAAAACTAATTTCTATCAATTTTCATACTATTTACTGTTTATCAGCAAGGCAGTTTCGATTTTGGATGTCTGTTAAGTTAGCACCCCCCTCCCACACAAAACCGGAATAACACATATACAGAAATTAAGTGCTCTTTATGTGCGAATTATGTGCTCTATTCACTATTTTTGTGCTCGAGCGGTTTTGCAGGAAATCGCAATTGAAAATGAGGGTGCTGGCTTAACGGAAGCTAGCACCCCCACTCAATTAAATTACATATAAAATAAAAAACTTAATATGCTAGAATTATGTGCTTTTTATGTGCTTTCAAATGCCTCAAACGAAATTAGTCTATCTGTAATTGTATTTCGCGCCTCTTCCTCAAGATAATACGTAGTAGTCCCTACTCTATGCCGAGGCGCCACAGTCTTTACAGCTAAAACAAAACGTTTTTCCCCCTCCTAGGGGACTTCTCTCGTGTTCGCGCCCATTGCGTCATTCTTTATTCTTGTGCCGAGATAGTCACATCGCCATTAGTAAAATGGGAAAAAGAAAATACAGGAGATCAGATTCGGACGATGAATCTAAGGAAAATAGGATAACTAAAAAGATGAAACGCCTGTCGAGAGATCTTAAAAAGCTTGAGGATCGAATACGGAAGAGACGGGCACGTAAGTAATAAATCAGGTTAATCGAAAACTCGATTGCCGTCATCTTTTCTATTCCGCCTCGTAAGGAGTGGTCGGACGATAATGTTTTTATGCATATCTCTTGGTACACATTTGTCGCGTCATAGGCTCTAACCTATGAACGAGTCACAGGCTCTAACCTGGTGGCAAGTTTTAGCATACGACGAATGCCTCGTGTACGCCGCAAGGCAAACGATTTTATCGTTTGCGGAGACTGAGTCTCCTGACGTATAGATAATACACGTATTGGCTACACACTCGTCACGTCATAGGCTCTAACCTATTGACGAGCCACAGGCGCTAACCTAATGGCGAGCTTTGTCTCAGGACGAGAGGCACAATGTACCGCGGTGTATAAACCGTTAAATACATATTAGATACACACTATCGTGTCATAGGCCCTAACCTATTGACAGGCCGCAGACTCTAAGTTAGTGGCGATTTCATTTTATGATGAATGACGTAATGAACCTCAGTGTATACGCTTTAAGACAAGCGGTCTTACTTGAGACGGGATCTCCAAGTAATGCATGTATGTGTTTAATATGTATATACATATATACATGTATATACATATATTTATATATATATATTTATATATATATATATATATATATTTATGTGAATGTGTGTTGTACACATATATAAAACGGTCCTAAAAGAAATGTGATTTATTAGGAGACCGTGATTCGAGATTAGAGGATGGTGATCATAAACGGCAGAAATCATCCAGTGGCAGAGACAGGAGAAATCTGTCACAAAGCCCTTCACGAACTCCACCCGATTCTCCATTTATCCCGTCGGATGATGATCAACGATCGCCCTCGATTGACGAGGGGCTCACTGTGGATACAATAGAAGTTGCGTTGGGCGGCGAGGTCGCATCGACCTCGAATCATTCTCATGATCCGCCCGTTGGTACTTCCACAGCACCGGCAGAGGCTTCTATTGAACATCAACCGACAGTAAAACCAGGAGGAGATTCATCTTCTTTAAATGCCCAAAAAACTGAGGCTTCTGGGCAAGAGAATGAACTCATTATTGAAGACCTGGATGAGGAAATTTTGGATGTAATCGGCAAACGAGTTGCAGAAGACAGAGTGCTGGCCCCAGCTATTCCTAAAAGTATCGCTGTTCGGCTGGAAGACATTTTGAAGAAAGGTCTTCCAAAGGAGGAAAGAGAAAAGCTAATCAAGGAACATGCACCACCAAAAAATTGCGTCTTGATTGATCCTCCTAAACTAAATGAAGAGGTTAAAGTTTCTATAGCGGAACCATCAAGAAAACGAGATGATCGAATCGTCGATAAACAAAAGAAAATTACTGCTTGTCTCGCCTTGATGGGTAGCTCCATAGTTGATGTTATCAACAATAGCAAGGCGGATAAAGGAACTTCGATATTGCCACCAGCGCAAATTGCCTTAGTTAAAAAGCTCAGTGAAGCAGCACGGTTGTTGGCAGATCTGCAGAGAGATGAAACCCTGACTCGCAGAAGTCTAATTCTTGCTACGATTAATAGCTCACAGAAGGAAGTATTGGAATCATCAACAGCTGATGAATGGCTTTTTGGCCAAAAATTGGATGAGCGTCTTAAGGCGGCAAAGACAATCGAACGATCGGGAAAGGACCTGAAAGCAAAACCTAAAATCTCTAAGAAGCCAAAAAACTTCAAGACTCCGCCTCGTCGTCAGCCTTTCAAGCCCAGGACGTCGGGCGGGTTCCGGAACAAATTTTACAATCAAAATCAGTCCAACAAGAAGAACTGGGGAACTCAGAACACGGGAGACCACAATCCCCAATCACAAACCCCAGCGCAACAGAAAAAAGCTTAGCTTTAAGGGATGTAAGTAGATCAGCTGGCAGGTTAAAAAATTACCTGAATAAGTGGAAAGACTTAACTTCCGATTCCAGAGTTTTAGATTGGATAAAAGGTTATAAAATTCCCTTTGCAGAATTAGTATTTCAAAATACAATCCCTACAGAACCTTCATGGTCACTAAAAGAAAAAATTCAGGTTAAGGAACACATAGATCAGTTAATTTCCAAAGGAGTTATTAGTAGGTGCCATCCACAGAAAGGGCAATTTGTATCGGGTATCTTTTTAATTCCAAAGCCAGATGGTTCAAGTAGATTGATTCTTAATCTTAAAAAATTAAATGAATTTATTGAAATAGACCATTTTAAAATGGAGGATTATAAAGTAGCTTGTAAATTAATAAGTCGCAATTGTTTTATGGGTAAATTGGATCTTAAAGATGCGTATTATATGATCCCAATTGACAAAAATTATAAAAAATATTTAAGATTTTTGTTTGATGGCAATCTCTATGAATTGCTTACCCTTTGGCCTCAACACGGCTCCATATATTTTTACGAAAATCATGAAGCCAGTAGTAGCTTTTCTGAGAAACTTAGGATTTTTGTCGGTTGTTTATCTGGATGATCTGTTACTGTTTGGAAACACGTATTCGGATTGTTTAAAGAACATAAAGGAATCTCTAAATGTGTTAAAAAGTCTAGGTTTTATTATTAACGAAAATAAGAGTCGTAAAATTCCAGCACAAGCCCGTAAATTTCTTGGTTTTATTTTAAATTCACAAAAAATGACGTTAGAATTGCCACTAGAAAAAAGATACAAGGTTCGCGATCAGATCAACATTTTTAAAAAATTGAAAAAATGCAAAATTAGAGATTTTGCTCAGTTGATAGGATCCTTGGTATCGTGTTGTCCAGCCATCCAATACAGTTGGGCACATATCAAAAATCTCGAAAGGGAAAAATACTTAGCTCTTTTAAAGTCAAATGGCAATTATGATGTGAATATGCAATTGAGTCAAACTTTACAAGATGATTTCTCTTGGTGGGAATCAAATATTTTACACAGAGTCTCGTCAATTTCTAGTCGTGAATTCAGTTTGGTTATCTTTTCAGACGCTTCCCTCACGGGTTGGGGAGTTTCGTGCAACAACAATAGAGCTCATGGTTTCTGGAGTGAATCCGAAAGGCTACACCACATTAATTACTTAGAGCTTTTATCAGCCTTCTTTGGACTCAAATGTTTCGCCAAAGATCTTCAAAATTGCAATATTCTGTTAAGAATCGACAACACTACAGCGATTTCTTATATAAATCGTATGGGTAGTATAAGATTCAAAAAACTCAGTGATCTTGCGAAGACCATTTGGAAATGGTGTGAAGAACGTGAATTGTTCATTTTCGCATCATATATTGCTTCAAAGAATAACACTGAAGCAGATTTTGAATCCAGAAGATTGGATAAAGAAACGGAATTCGAATTGTCGGATGTAGCTTTTCGGAAAATCACTAGTAAATTTGGTTATCCGGACATAGACTTGTTTGCTACTAGAATTAACGCAAAATGTAAAGATTATGTATCCTGGACAAGGGATCCAGGTTCAATAGCGATCGATGCTTTTACTATAAACTGGAATAAATCCTTCTTTTATGCTTTTCCACCATTTATACTGGTTACTAGAGTCTTACAGAAAATTAGATCGGAAGGAGCAAAAGGTATAGTTGTGGTACCACAATGGCCAGCACAGCCGTGGTTTCCCTTGTTCCTTTCAATGCTGGAATCGGAGGTTTTGACATTTAAGGCCGATAGTAATACCTTACTTTCACCCGATAGGGAGCCACATCCGCTTTGGAAGTCTCTTACCCTGGTGGCCGGGAAGTTATCAGGGAAGCCTTCCTGTTAAGAGGCGTTCCAAAGGAATCCATAACAATTACTATGGCTTCCTTAAGCGAATCTACCTTTAAGCAATATAACTGCGCATTGAAAAAATGGTGGATATTTTGTAAAGATAAGAGTTTATCCTTTTACGATGCTGAAGTAGCAGACATCGTTAAGTTTTTAACTATAGAATTTGACAACGGGGCATCTTACGGATCCCTTAACGGCATGCGATCTGCTATTTCTCTTATCTTGGGCTCAGAAGTAGGACAAAATGAGGTTATTAAACGGTTTTTCAAAGGATTGTCAAAATTAAGACCTCCGAAGCCTAAATATGATTCTACGTGGGATCCAAGTTTAGTTCTTGATTATTTCAGAGACTTACGAAACGAGGACTTAGCCTTAGATAAGTTAAGTAAAAAATTAGTATCGTTATTAGCGTTAGTAACTGGGCAAAGAATTCAAACTTTGTCATCAATTGATGTAAGAAATATAGTTACCAAAGAGAACTTGATAGAAATTAAGATTCCGGAGAGAATAAAAACCTCTAAACCCGGAAAATATCAACCGGTGTTAACTTTGCCTTGTTACAAGGAAAATTTGAACATTTGCCCAGTTAATACGCTACAATGTTATCTCAAAAGGACAAAAGAGCTTAGAAAAGATATAACGAGTTTATTTATTTCATTTAAAAAACCGTTTAAGAAAGCATCAACCCAGACGCTTAGCCGATGGGTAAAAGATGTTTTACAGGAAAGTGGCATAGACACAGATATTTTCTCAGCGCATAGTACTAGACATGCGTCTACGTCCGCGGCGAAACGCAAAGGTATTAACATTGATGTAATAAGAAAATCAGCGGGTTGGACAGAAAGATCAGCCACTTTCACAAAATTCTATGATAGACCCATCGTTCAGGACTTAAGAGTATTTGGGCAAGCGATATTAGATAAGTAAGAAAAAGTTAAATAAAACTGTTTGATATTCCTTATTATCTGTGACAAACATATATATTTTATAATTTCACAACCGTAGCCAACTTTCAACATCTACGTATTATCTTGAGGAAGAGGCGCGAAATACAATTTAATGATTAAACGAACTTACCTGTAAGTGAAGTTCTATCATAATTGTATGAAGCGCCTCTTCCGAAAGATGGGTCCCTCCCTATACCCATATCCGACAATTTCGGATCCCGTAACTTTTAGGGCTACGGCTGAACTTTGAAAAAAAAAAAATGACGCAATGGGCGCGAACACGAGAGAAGTCCCCTAGGAGGGGGAAAAACGTTTTGTTTTAGCTGTAAAGACTGTGGCGCCTCGGCATAGAGTAGGGACTACTACGTATTATCTTTCGGAAGAGGCGCTTCATACAATTATGATAGAACTTCACTTACAGGTAAGTTCGTTTAATCATTAAATAGTTTAAAAGATATATGTAAAAAAAGATCTATATACTACTAATATAAGAGTAAAGTATTATTTAAAATACAGAAAACGAAATAATTTTTGTTTTAAAATGTTTCTCGATTAATGTGTTCTCGAAATATGCACAATGAAATTTTCGTGCTTATCCCCTTTCACCGACTCGAACGTGAGCATCCCATACGTACAAGAGTAAAGTACCAGTTAAAATGTAGATAGCAAATTGGTTTTGGTCTTAAAATGTTCCTTAATTTATTTGCTTTTAAAATATGTAGAATAAAAGTTTTGTGCTTACCCCCTTTAGCCGACAAACCTGCTTGAAAGTGAGGAACCCATACGTACAAGAGTAAAGTACCAGTTAAAATACAGATAGCAAATTGGTTTCAGTCTTAAAATGTTCCTTAATTTATGTGCTTTTAAATTATGTAGAATAAAAGTTTTGTGTTTATCCCCTTCAGCCGACAAACCTCCTTGAAAGTGAGTACCCCATACGTACAAGAGTAAAGTACCAGTTAAAATACAGATAGCGAATTGATTTTAGTCTTAAAATGTTCCTTAATTTATGTGCTTTCAAAATATGCACAATGAGATTTTCACCGGTGCACTGGTACTTTACTCTTGTATGTACGTATGGGGTGCTCACTTTCAGGAAGGTTTGTCGGCTGAAGGTGATAAGCACAAAACTTTTATTTTACATATTTTGAAACCACATAAATTAAGGAACATTTTAAGACTAAAACCAATTCGCTATCTATATTTTAACTAGTACTTTACTCTTGTACGTATGGGGTGCTCACTTTCAAGAAGGTTTGTCGGCTGAAGAAAATAAGCACAAAACTTTTATTCTACATATTTTGAAAGCACATAAAT